ACCAATATCACTTTCGTCCTTCTGATTGTACATTCACACTGGGCCTATTTGTACATCTAGTAGGTGTGGTAGAAAAAAGACGATTTATGTTTCGCTTAATGCTCATTTGTTAAGAACCGTATCGTCAGTCGTCCCTACAATTGTAGGACACCTTTATGACCTCCTTGATTTTCATAGTATGTTCTCTCCTTTAGAAAGGCTGATATATTTATAGATTTCTACTGTTCCGTGTCAGCGTCAGCGCTCTCCTATTGTGAGGCTATGTTTGCTTTTTAAATTGTAGGAAATTTCGTGCTAATATAACGTCTGATTTAAATCAAAAGCATGAACAATTTGATGCAAATCAATATTTATAAAATAACCTCAAAATAGAACGCTGACACGGATCAGTAGAAAACTATAAAAATCAAGGAGGCCATAAAGGCGTCCTACAATTGTAGAATCCTTGATTTTCATAGTTTTTCTAGTCCTTCAAAATGCGCTATACTTTGAGGTTACGTTGAAAATATCTATTTGCATCAAATTGTTCAAGCTTTTGATTTTTTTCATCTGTTTTATCAGCGTATTACTCTGAGATATTAAATACATAGTGTTTTATATAAAAGTTCAATTTTAAAAAAAAAATACGGTGCAAAACCGAAAGCAAACATTTCAAACCAAAATATATTCAGGTACATTAAACAAGCCACAGTGGTGACCAGGCTGACAATGCGAGCTGGGTTACCGTTCCTATTCCTACAGTCAACTTAATGTTTTCACTTTCAGAGTGATCAGTTCTGCTAATAGATGGCACTCTGTGCTGTCTTATTTCGATGTATTTATATGTACATACATGTCACGCTGTCTATGACGTTAGGCTCTTGTTTAGGTCAACTTCGCAGATATCGCATAATACGTTATGGCTTTAGTTATACTTCGGTCAAGAATTTTTAGTTCAGTGTTATAGTAAATCTCATCGCATTTGTACTGTATAAATACCTGCGCTCATCACATCACGTTTTCTTCAGTAGACAGGGTAACTGCTGATATTATGAGAGAAAGATTCCAATAACTGCATTTTTAAGGCCTGAAGTGATATTGAATGTGGACGTACTTAACTTAGATCAAGCAGCTTAAGATTCTAATAAAGAATTCCAAATTGAGCGCGTACGTCTACGTAGCTGCAATAGAACCAGACTGCAAAAAAGGGGCTCATTAAGTCCAGTCCACTGGGCTTATTAAAATACATCATTAAGTCCAAGCTTAAGGATGACTGACTCTACGGTTAAGTTAATCAAAAAATATCGCAAATCTAGTTGATCTGAGTTAATCTGATAATCCACGTTGAGGTTCTCCTATTATTTTGACAATTGAACATGGCATACATATTGATATTGACGATCGTATAAAAGATTTTGCAATGAAAATAACACGTAAATTCCATTTTTAGTTAGTTAGAGAATTTGAAGATGCTTAATTTGACTTTTCCTAATTTTCTAGTGATAATTTATATAAAGAGGGACGGCACATTTGCGATTAGCCCCAGGTGGCGAAAACCCATGCTACGCCACTGATCCGCCCACAAAAATAAAGTTCCAGCGCCGCAAGCGAGAATATCTTGCATGGGACCCTCTGATGTCGAAACGCGACATTTTCGTACGACAAATCTCGAATGCAAAACCTCTAGAACAACTCCCCTCCCTCCAGCTGCCCTCAGATCGAACACTAGAAATGACCTTTGAAAAGTACAGCAATCTGGAAACTACTTTACAAATAACTTCGTTTTCCGCTAACATGGCCGCCGCTAATGTTACTCGTCGGTGGGATAATCGAATGGGGAAGTATACCCCGCTTTAGCAAAGGTTTATTGCTTCGCCACTGTCCATGATTACTTCTAAACTGAATCCAAATTCAAGATGAGATGTAAATAATAACAGTTAGCGCGTGATCTCTCGGTAACAGGTGGGTACAACGCCTCTTATTGGTCAATTCGCCATTAAATTTCAAGCGGTCGCCTGGCGGAATAATGCGCGGGGCAGGGGCAGGGCAGGCAGAGTTGCACTCAGGCCACCGTCCGTTGCGTGTATCACTGCGTGCTCGTATTTTTGTATTCACCTTGCTTGGTTGTTGCTGTTGTTGTTGTTAAGTGTATTTGAGTAATTTGTTAAGTTTCTGTTTCTGTTAAATACTGTCATCTTTGTTTTACAACACGTTGGTGGTAGTCCATCATTCGGAGGTAGCCCTGAATGCGACCCTGTACGCCGTCCCTGCTTTTGCCAATCACGCATCCATTCTATCTTGGGTGTAAATACACTATAGATCACTTCAAGTGATCGTAAAAGCTACCTGAATCAAAATGCTGCATGTAGACTCAATCGCATTATTTACTGGTTAATAACACTCCTTCAGAGTTGGTGATAAGTTACTACTTCTACTGAGTTACTAATGTCATAGTTGATGCTATATTTTGTGATTAGTAGCTTATTTAGAAGAAAACGAAGAAAATAGGGGCGTTTTTTGTGGTATAATGTTCTTCGATATCCAATATCACAATACTTATGCTGAGATATGAGACCAGGGAGAAATTTTTCATCTCGTTTAAAGGTGCCCCTTAACATCAAATCAAGAGGTTGTCGGCCTGTATCGTGTTCACGATAATCTAAGCTTCAACGATCCTCTACCCTACGTCATCGGTAATGTCGATCAGAATGGTATAATTTGAAAAGAGTTACTGTCTCATAGATTTATGAGCATATATGTATTTTAAATTGTATTCAAGATTCGAATACGAGGAAAACATATTCGAATACTGCTCTTTTGTATACCTGGATTCATTTAAATGTGAAAACGTTTTAAATATTCCAACTAAAAAAAGCAGGCACTTTAAACTTTATTTTATGTATGTTATAAAAATAATAATATTATATTAAATAAAACATTTTGATAGTGTCACTGTGAGGTATAATAGAATAAATCTCAATAAGAAAATATATGAATCTTAGGCAATGTGTCTACATAATAAAAACATAAACTTACCTTTTTATATATCTATCAGATATCACACACATATTATAAAAGGTATTAAAATTTATTATAAAATGGAATAATAATACTGCACAAGCGCAAATGTATACGTAATCGATCCTTAAGGGACCTGTCGGCATCGCGGATTCATAAGCACCACCGTCCATACAAACAACTTTACGAAACCTCTTGTTTGTGCCATCCACAATAACCGCGAACGTGTTTTAACACGCTCAATTTGCGTAAAGCGTATCGCAATATTCATAAGAATAGCTGAACAGTATTCGAAAATAGCATTCCGGTACAGGATGCGAATACCGGGATTTCAATTCAAACTGAGTATTCGAATAAGGTATTCAGAATCCTGACCAAAAAAGTATTCAGTCGAATACCAAACACGCAAGTATATTCGAATAGTATTCTATTTGAATGCCAGCCAAATGTATTGTGAATATGATTCAAAATACTGAGTATTCGAATACTACTCAAGTCTGATAGGTTGGCTATCTTCAGGTAGAAAACGTTAATCAACGCTTATTGTTACTATTCCCATTACTTAAGATGTAATTTTGTAACATACCTTTTATATATACCTATACCTGCCTGTCTTAAAATATAATGTGGGTCATATCCTGGAATAAATAAAGATAAATGGGTCGAGTACTGTTTTGGCGTCAGGCTTGTTATTCATGGAGAAATGACGTTTTGGGAGACCATCAGAGTTGGAAGGAAAGTGGAGAATATCTGAAATTACCTTCTGATGATACACCTAAGGTAAAAAAATACCAAGTTTTTTACGCCAAAGCAGCCACGCAGGCAGAGGAATAAATGCCAGGACACGTACCGCGGCTGCTATGAGCATCTCATAGATATTTTGTTGATCCAATTTTTTAACTGCCTAAGGTTAGTGCAACTGGGAAAAGCCTCCTGTTGTAGGTTGTTCCACAATTTCGACAACCTCTGGACAAGGGAGTGGCCGGCATCGGCCAGTTCTGGATCTACGAAGTTCTACACTGTTAGGATGGGCGGCCGAAGTCAGGCGGGTCTGTCTGGCAGGCACATCGCGCGGTGGCATCATGGAGAGCTCTAAGGAGCAAAGCCCGTTGGTGTAGCGGTAGAAGAGCGCTAGATCGCCGACAACCGACATTGCGAAAGACTCCCGAGACTGTTTATTAAAAAGATTTTTACACCGTAGCAGCCGCGCAGGCAGAAGCCTAAATGCCAGGACAACGCGGCTGCTATGAAGGTCCCAAAGAAATTTTGTTAATCCAGTCATTAAACTGCCTTAGGTTAGAAGAACTGGTAAAAGCCCCCTTTTGTAGGTTGTTCTACAATTTCGACAACCTCTGGACAAGGGAGTGGACGTATCGGCCAGTTCTGGATGTACGAAGTTCGACACGGTTAGGTTGGGAGGCCGAAGTCAGGCGGGTCTGTCTGGTAGGCACATCGCTCGACGGCTCATGGAGCAAAGCTCATTGGTTTAGCAGAAGAGAGCTAGATTGCTTACGGCCCGATGGTATGAAAGGATCCCGAGACTGTTAGAGAAAAGTAATCGATCAGCCGGACAGCATAGAGCACGGTGTAATCGGGGCGGCAACACCCAACCGAGTGAGCAATACTTGAGGCTATGTCTTATCTGGACCTTGTATAGACTGAAGAGGTCATGCGAAGAAAAGAACTTAGCCCTGAACGAATAGCCTAACTTTTTCCCGGCAACTGCATTTGTCGAAACCTTTTTATGCGTATAAAGCTCTTTCACGTATAAGACCAAATTGAATCTTTTGCTGTTTAAATTTCAAACCAAAAATGGCATACCACGGAATTCCCGAGGTAGCGAATATTCTGCTGAATTTTGATCATTCAACATATAAAATAGTTCACAGTACCTGGTATCCCAGATTAACTGTTTCGATTGTGAAGGAACAGAAAATAAAAGTTAGACCTTTTCAAATTATTGTATTTATAGTTAAAGTCTATAAAATAAAACAAAAAATCACTTATATAATGCCGATCTTATTGGCTACGTCCAGCGCATCGTAATCCCTAGCCAACCTAACGTACGCCTTCTTCTTGCCGTCGGGCCTGATCAAGGTGTTCACTTTTGCCACGTTAATGTCGTACAGTTTCTTGACGGCAGCCTTGATGTGGTGCTTGTTGGCCTCCGTGTGAACCAGGAACACCAAAGTGTTGTTATCTTCGATTTTCTTCATGGCCGCTTCAGTGGTCAGGGGGAACTTGATGATATTGTAGGCGTCCATGCGGGACCTGACAATAAATGATTTCGGATATAGGTCTTTTGGCAGGTCGCAGTAAATCTACCAGTATCGCTTTCATAGCTCCATCTCACTCTCACAAAAGCATGCATTCTACCTCTGAGCATGGACGTTCGTGAAGGCTACAGACATGCGTCATTTAGTTTTGTATCACAACTTTCTGAAGTTTTCTTGTTACGTACAAGTATTCTAAATATACAGTAGCGGACAAAAGTTTTTAAACAAAGATTAACATTATTGTGAACTATTAATATACCTAAATTAAAATTGTGAAGGATCAGATAATATAAATATTAAAGTCTACCTTTGTCTCCCTACTAATAAAAGGTTTATCTTATCAATATTCAAATTCTCTGAAAATAAAAACACATTTTTTAAATACCACAGTTTTTGTAACAACAAAAGTATGGAAACATTTCAGTTTTGCGGTATTTATTCGGTCTGCGATGATGATATTGCGTGCGGTAAATATTAATATCATTGAGAATGGCAAAAGTAAAAGAATTTTTCAAAAGATTTAAGAGACAAAGTAATTGAATTATTTAGAAGTGGTGTCAGAAATGTTGACATTTCTCAAAGATTAAAAATGAACAAAGGGACGATTTCAAAAATTATTAGTAAGTATCAAGAGTACGGATCAACAGCAACGCGGCCCATGTGCGAAACACCGAAAAAAAAACGATTATGTATTGTATCGCTACATTACACGTTTGTCCCATGAAGATCCCAGAATGCCAGCTGCACATATTTTCAAAAGAATCGTAGAAGGTGCCGAGAATCTTTCTGACAGAACAGTGCAGAGACGTTTCGCGGATTTTGGGCTTTTTGGTAGGCGGCGTCCAGTGCAAAAGCCCCTCATTTCAAAAAAAAATCGTATTGCTCGGTTTGAATTTGCTAAAATTCATTCAACTTGGACAGAACAACAATTGAATACAGTTTTATGGAGCGATGGAAGCAAATTGTTTGGATCTAACGGTACAGCATATGTGAGACGTCCAATACGAAAAAGATTCGACAGAAAGTATCGGTTGCCAACGGTTAAGCACGGTGGAGGCAATATCATGGTTTGGGGCTGTTTTTCTAGTTATGGAACTTAAAATTGTTGGGTAAATGGATCAAAAACTTTACAAAGTTATTCTTGCTGAAGAAGAAATGCCTTACGATGGATATTCCAGCAAGATAATGACCCGAAGCATACATCAAAATTCGTAAAGGAGTGGTTAAGACTAAAAAATGTTAATGTTCTTATGTGGACTTCGCAACCCCCAGACCTAAGCTCTATAGAGCATCACTAGGAGCATGTTAAAAGACATCTGACAAGAAAAACTTTAAAAATAGGAACGATTTATTTGATTTTGCAAAAAATATTTGGCAAAATATCTTACCAGACGTCCGTAAAAAATTGGTGTCTTCTATCACAGCCGACGTCAACTACGAGCCGTGATGAAAGAAAGGCAACACCGCGCTCGGACGGCATGGTAGTGCTACCTGTGAACGTCGGTCGCCAGCGGCTGTGCTGTGTGCTCCGTCTCCGTGTAACGTTCAAGAACTAAATTTAATTTTGGAAAAGAGGACAGTTCGATTCGATACAAATCATCTGAATATGAAATAGCTCTAAAAAATTTAAAAATACGAAATAATCGTGATATATATGAGTCGCTAATGCAGTTAACCTAATTAATAGTATTTAGTTTACGTTTTTTGGTGTCAGCACACTATGTTCCAATAGGCCCAGCTTGGAAATGTGGAGTTACCTGTTTGTTTTTAATACATTTACTTTCAGTTTTACTGTTATTTTTCAATTTTACATAATCATTCAAAATTATGTTTAAAAAAATAGACAAAAGCTTAGATAAGATATCTGCATAATTGCGGCCACAGATGCAAGTTAAAGAAAATTCACTGTATATAAAGTCAGACTGAATCCTGAGCAAGGTTAACTGACACAAAATAAATTTTTGATTATTGCTTTTCAAGAAGAAAATTTCCAATCTATCTACATTAATAATAGATTCAAAAATGGCATACATATGGTAGAATATGATTGGTACATAACTGGTTGGAATTGACAGTCCTCCTCTTTGAAAATGATCAAAATAAACATTTGTTGTTAATGAACCTTTTTCTTTAACTATTAGCGATTTGCATATCTCGCAGTTTAGGTTTTTAGAGATAGCGTGTGAAGCATATCCAGATATATAAGTCTTAGTACTATCCTCTATGTCACAATTGGCTAAATAATTTGTTGCTGAAGATAGGATGAAGGCTAAAACAGTTTTAGCCATGTCATTTTTATTTGAAATTTGAAAAATACAACCAGAATTTGCACGTTTTCAATAGTTGAAATCCTTAGCGTCCTGAGGCGCGAACAGCCACAGTCACACTTCTTAGTTTATTTTTAAAGCACAGAAGCACTACAACTGGAGTCTATTTCTCATATATTATAGTCACCGATCACTTTGAACACATACACACACTTTGAAGCTTAGAAATCAAGCTTATCTCTTAATTACAGCCTCTGCGATTCCAAAATCACAAATTGAAAAGGTTATGTTTTCTCAGCGTTTTGAGCGGCGGGCGTAACACTACCACCTACGTTGCCAGATTTCTTTGTTCACGGCTCGTAGTTGACGTCGGCTGTGCTTCTATGACCAGCATATGTCAGGCGGCATTGAATGTTAAAGGCCTTACTACTGAATATTAGATAAACAGTATTTTTTAAATCTTTTTGTAGAGTTATTGTATTTAATTTTGTAATAAAAAATATGTTTCCATACTTTTGTCGTCTCATTTTCGGTCATAAAATAATATGAAGGTATTTTAATGCTAATCTGTGGTACCACAGCAAACACAAATTGTCATTTGTATCCTCAAGACTGTAAGCAAACTATATGAGAAAAAAATTTCCTTAATAATAAAGAATAAAAAATTAGCACACTTCAAAAATTACTAAGAATGTTTCCTAACTTTTGTCCGCTACCATATGCTTGTTATTGGCAGTAGGACAACTAAATTGCAATGGCCAAGCGATTCGAATTAACCTTTTCCTAATGTTTGATATCAAAAATATAGCAATGCCTAGGAATACAGTTAGTGGACAATGTCGACAGATTATGCTATATTTATTAGAATGGTTAGGTAATCTGTTTACTTATTTCGTATGATGCCAAAACTGACAGCCAAAACCAGTGCAAAGACCCATACAATTATTTCCTGCTATTACGGAAATATTATTCAAGGATGACTTTTGAAAAATCATAAAGAATGGTGGCTGGATCTCGACAGTCACTCAACCTAGCCCTATCAGTTAAAAAATGGATGGAAATCATTTTCACCTTCCCAAAAATGCATTACAGGGATGATGAAAAATAATACCATTGCATTTGAAATTTGAATGCTGCCTAACAGATGAAAAAAGAACTAAACTAAAAAAACTTTTTTGGAAAAGTGCATTAAAGCCCTTCTAAAAAAAAGACCGTGAAAATCAATAAAGCCAATCAGAACTTACACTACTTTTCCCAAACTGGTCTTCAACCCATCTCGACTCTGCAAACCAATCGAGTTACGTGAAAATGATGTTAACAAAAAATGACGCAAAACAAGAACACTATCGAATTAAGCTTTTTTAGATATATGTATGTTAATAAAGAATGTCAAAAAAATTTCTGATTTTGAGGTCATAATTTTACCCACAGTGGCTATTTTAGAAAGGTGAATTTCTTTTGTCAACTTTTTCATAAAAAATTTTAAGCAACAGATCTAGGTTGAAGGGTTACTGAGATACAGCCAGTGGTACATGCGACGTTTGTTTGTTTGTTCTAGATTTACTTAGCATTAATGCTACAGTATCCATTCTATGTATGCTACACAGTGTATCACATAATATATTATGTCTTCAAGACTATATATTTTTATACATATGAATTCTGGTTTGCCATGAGGTATTTTTTCAATTAAAGAAGTATATATAATGTTAAATTATCCATTTTATATTCTGCGACTATGGGCCTTCCTAATGTCAAAAAATACAAGGAAAATATAGTACATTACATTGGAATAGGGCCATCAAGTGATCACTAGTGCCAGTCAGTGAGTTGTTGCAATTTGTAGCCAATCGTTTTTAGATCGTTAGAACCCGCAATTTATCTGTGACGGAAAAATCGTTTTGATATTTTAAAACATACTGACCTCGTGGGTACACTCTTGCGTGGGTATTTAGGATTCCTTGGTGGCCTAAAGGTTTTGGGGCGGTGGAAATGTACTGACGTACGGATTTTGCGTGCACGTGTACCATTAGGGCCTTTTATTATCTGAAATAAAAACCTAAGTGAGCTGCTTATCCAAACAAGCAAGCATGAATTTCAATATAAGATGTTATCAGAGAAAATTTGTTATTTACATGGAATTTTTCAAAGAGATTCCCAACAACTTTTCATCATGTATTTGCAATATGTAAAACTAAAAAAGAAAAAATACAGAGTGGTGGAGCAATGTCCATTTGTGTCTGATGGATTCACCATCAGTGGTAACTTGATATACCTATAACAAAAGCATATATCACACAATTAGTATTTACTGTGGATCCTACCATCAGTATTTATTCATTCAGTCAGTATCAATGGATTTGTACACAACCTTATGAATCAATAATTACTGATGTCTTGCCTACACAGTAAATAGATATAAGTATCACATTCCATAAATACTGACGGGTCATAGAAAAAATTGATAATGACAGTTGCTTTACAAGCACTATAGACTAAATTGAACCCAATTTTTTCATTTTCTCCTAGGTTTATTCTTTGTAGTTGTAATCCCCAAGGATCTAGCATCACATATGTTCTATATAATATGCTTACTTCCAAAACAAATATGAAAATATAGATACACTTTTTATAATTAATCCAACTGATACTATCTATGTCATGTCAAAGAAATGTAAGATTTTAGTCTTAAAGTATCCTTCTCATTGGTTTCAAAGCAATATCTACAGGAAAATTTGTTCCACTGATGGAAAACAAACTAACGGGTGATTTTTTAAGAGGTATAGGATTTGATTTTCAAAAAAATCACAAAAAATTGGAAAAAACGATTAAATCTTTATTTGAGTCGATAGAACGGTCGATATAATTTAATGTTTAAAGATTATTTCATGTAAATGTTGGCGGCGGCCCGCTTTAGATGGCCCATGCGCAAGGTCCAATTTTGGCACACTCTCTCCAACATATCGGCCGGTATATCACGAATAAATGCTTCAATATTGGCTTCCAGTGCGTCAATCGTTGCTGGTTTATCCCTGTAGACATTAGCCTTAACATGGCCCCACAAGAAATAGTCCAACCGCGTTAAATCACACGATCTAGGCGGTCAATTGACGGGCCCCAAACGTGAGATAAACTGTTCACCGAACTCGCCTCTCAATAGGGCCATTGTTTCGTGTGGGGTGTGGCATGTGGCACGGTCTTGTTGAAACCACATGTCAGCCAAGTCCAGCTGTTCCATTTTGGGCAAAAAAAAAGTTTGTTATTAGCGCACGGTAGCGCTCGCCATTCACAGTTACGTTCCGGCCATTGTCGTCTTTGAAGAAGTACGGCCCGATGATGCCACCGGCCCATAATCCACAACAAACAGTGATTTCTGCGGGATGCATTTTTAGCTCTTGAAATGCTTCTGGCTGATCTTCACTCCAGATGCCGCAATTTTGCTTGTTAACGTACCCATTCAAACAGAAATGAGCTTCGTCGCTGAACACAATTTTTCGATAAAAATGTGGACCTTCCTCCAACTTTGCCAGTGCCCATTCACCAAACTGGAAACGTTGTGAGAGGTCGTGTGGCTTCAATTATTGCACCAGCTGTATCTTATAAGATTTTACACCCAAATCCTGTCGCAAAATTTTCCACGTAGTGGAGTAACAGAGGCCCAATTGCTGCAAACGGCGGCGAATCGACATTTCAAGGTCATCACTAACACTGGCGGATACAGCCGCAATATCTTCTTCAGTCCTCACTCTACGTCTGCGTGTTGGTGGTTTAATGTCCAATAATGTAAACTGGGTTCGAAAGTTAGTCACAAGCTTCCGAATAGCTCCCTCAGTAGGCCGACCAAATTGCCCATAAATTGGAAGCAGTGCTCGATGCACTCTCTTAACCGAGCATGAATTTTGATAGTAAAATTCAATAATTTGCAAGCGTTGTTCGTTCGTAAGTCGATTCATGGTTAAATTATAGACCAAACTGAACAAGTTTGATAATGACACAAGACACGATTCACGCGTCATCTGTCAAAAACAGTGTTGCCAAAAAGATACTAGCAAAAAAAATCACCCATTATTAGCTGTACTGTAAGTAATTTTACATGAAGATGTGAAATGATGGGGCTGCTGTTAATAACATGTTTAAAGCCTTGTATAGTCTTTTTGCTACTTTGAACTCTTACTAGTATCTATTAGCTTCTTCAAAAACCTACAATTGTGATAAGCATATATTACAAAATGAGATCAGTGCAAGCAAATCACAAACCTAGAATTTTAAATTTGCTATTTGAAAAATTTCACATTCCTAGAGTTTTTCAATATAATATATGTACTAAAAAAAAACCTCTTTTCCCAATGCATAATATAGGCAGCAATGCCAGCATACCAAATCTTCAGTTTCAACTAGTTCACAGCTATCATGCCATGTTTCCTAGATTATTTCCATTTCTGGAATGTGTATAAAACTTTCCTGTTCAATATTCTGAATCTTTTGACTTTCCAGGATCTATCAAAATTTTATTTCAATTACACAGTGTGGTGACAGAGTAAATTGCTAATGATTTCAAATAGACATGTTCTGACAGAACAAAAAAAAAATAAACTTACCTTTTTTTGAATCTTCTTAGCTTTTGCAGCAGCAGCAGCTGCAGGGGTAGTTGGTACCTTCTTACCAGCACCCTTTGGCTGTTGCTTAACGGACACGTTCCTCTTCACCTTTGTCACCACTGTCTTCTGTGCAGGCTTAGCCTTGCCAGCTGCAGCTTTGCCTGCAGCAGCCTTTACTGCTGGCTTCTTGCCTGCTGCAGCCTTTGCTGTGGGCTTAGCAGCAGGCTTAGCTGCACCCTTGGCTACTTTGGCTGCCTTGGCAGTGGTGGGTTTCTGTGCTGAGGTGGTGCTGGCCTAAGAGGCAATATTAATTAAAATGTTTGTAGTATCTCTCATGTTAATTCAACTGTATATCTAAGCTAACAAGAAAAATTCACATCTAATGGACCAATAGGCTAAACTAGTTTCTCATTTTGAAAAAAGCAGTTTATTAAACTTTTCATAATTAAATGTGGAAAACATCTTCAAAATAAAATTTAAGCTCAAATATAATATGGTATGAGAACCCATTTAATAGGTAAATTGGAGAAGCAAACTTTGAATCGGATTTATTTGGCGAGAGATCATGGGCTGCAATGTCAAATTAATGCCAGCACCTAAATATGGTCCTAGATCGCTAAGTTCCCACATCAGATTCAGCCCCATAATAATTAACAGTTTTTGATGGTCACATTCATGCTTAGTACCAGAAATTACCATGTGTTTCATTCAGTTGCAAGGATAAAAAAAAGAGGAACTCTACCCTACAATATTTTGTATTTTTGTTTCAATCTATAGGGAAATTTTCTAAGATCACACATAAGACTATTATTTGGGAAAAGCCTAGTATCCCAATTTGGACCCAATGACAATTGACAATGTTTTGATATCATTCACATTCTGCACCACAAATTACATGAGTATAAAATGTTTAATTTGCATGCAACAACAGGAAACAGGAAAAGAAATATTGCACTAGGAATTCCTATATACATGTTCAATCTCCTATGACAAACATTTTTTAAAAATATTTCCAATCGCTCAATTTCTACCTCAAAGTCAGTCTTAAAACTTTTGTGATGGTCACATTCCCATTTGCATTTAGAAGGGTATTGTGGGCTATGAAGGTGCTTCAGGTTGGCTACCTTGTGGTTTAACTAACTGATGCTTTATAAAGTTTTAGTTCCACTACTGAATAGCATTCTGACTTGTCTATGAAATGATGATTCAAACACGTTAAATGACGCATCCTTACCTTAGCCTTAGGAGCAGGGGCGGATTTCGCAGCAGCTGCAGGTTTTGCAGCTTTTGCACTGGAAGACTTCTTCTCAGCAGGTTTACTGCTACCTGCAGCTGGAGCTGACGGCACTTTAGTTGCAGCCTTAGGGGCCGGAGCCGGAGTTTTGGAGCTGCCACCGGCTCCTGAAGACCCACCAGCCGGTGCTGAAGCGGGTTTCTTCTTCTCATCCTTTTTTGCCGCTGCAACATACGAAAATACTTAAGTATATAACCTCAAAATCTGTGATGAAAACGCTGTGTGTAATGAAGTCAGTTGGGTGATTAGAGTGTTTTCAGGATATTCAAAGAGATTCCCACACTAGAACTCATCATCTGTGATAGATAGTGTACAAACACATGCTTCCACATGGCCTCTCTAACGTGGTAAAATTTTGACCATGTTGTAGTCGTCAACATACACAAAAATAACACTTTTTCAAATGCAGAAACGCGCAATACCTAATTCTGATGATATTTAACGTAAGTAGAACGTAGTACAATACTACTTACCGGGTTTATCACCCGATTTTGGCTTTGTAGGTGCCATTTCTTCTAAGCACTTTAACGAAAGGAAATCGAAACTTTTCGGACAGACAGAAAGGAGGAAGCTCTCCTGACGTGTGTCAATACTGTCAATCAGGTAGGCGCGAAGTTCAAAGGATTGAGGAAGTTTCCGGTACGCAATAAGTTAGCAAAATTAACGATTATTTCGCTGAGCTTACCGCTACTCAAAGTAAAGTATGTTCCATTTAATTTTATAAAATACATTGAAATGAATTTCGAGGAATTAAATTTTCTATTAGAGAAGGGAAAAGAAAGTTCTCTGCTCTCAGTGTTGCCGAACCGAAAAATACGAAATCGGTAGACAGTGTCGAAATTCGGTAGATTCAAGGACTGAATCGGTAGGAGGAAAAAAATCAACGCTGGATCAAGGGACTTTGCATCACACAGCGCACTCTACAAAAAACGTATAATTTTGTATTGGGCACACATACACAACACATATTTTTTTGAGAGCATCTGTTCCTGAATAAAATTCTTCATTACAACTTGTACCATGCACGTACTGGTCGTTCTTCAAACTCCCTTACGGAGATCATTGAAACTTATTTTGCCATTCTTGTTTGCATGATTCTGATTATGTTTCTGCTTTTGCATTCCTGAACCTGAAGCCTTATCACCTGACATTTTAATTTAACATACAATTAAATCAGACGAGCTTTGGTTTCATTATTCCTCTCTGGTGATGCGGTGATCTACCAGTCTGTACACAAAAACCCGGGGATGTGCATACATAATAATTGTAGATAACCCAAATCAACCTTTATTTTTGGTTCCAGCTCTTTTTCGATAAGAAATCTGGAAATATCTAGATTGTTGTAAAAGAATCGTGGAACATGAGGCCATGTTCGGTGAGTCTTATTTCGGTAGAAATACCGAAAAATCAGTAGGTTTGGCACCACTGGTACCTCCATTCCTTCCTGTCAATAAAAATGTATCGTTCTGTGGATGGCGTGATCTGATAAATCAGTGCATGTTATGTTTTGTGTGTTGAATCAAGGGTTTATCTCTGGTTGAATCTTGAAACGGTTATACATATTATGAGGGAGGTTAGAGATTCTTGATTTTACCAATGAACTGTCAACACTGATGGAATCGCCCCGTCCCATTTGTACAATGAAACGATAATGCGGCCAACATACGACAAAGAGGTCCGAGAGAGAGAGAGAGATGGAGCTAGTCAGGGCAAAAAGCGCGCGAACTTGAATAAATTGCATAGGAAACCGAGGATTCTTAGAGATTTAAAAGTTATTCAGGCAACTGGAACGAGATAAAATCCTGGAAATTAAAAAAACAAGTTTATTTATTTATATATACATATGTATGAAACTTGACAATAAATTCTCCTTTACACATTTGAAGATATAAAAATTAGTATTTAACATAAGTAATTAATAATTCAGGTAGCAAAGAGATTACATGTCTGCTTATAATTAACTTAACTGCTCTAATATGCTATATCTTACATATAAAAAATAAGAGATCTAAGAAATATCACAATAAATACATGCTATTTTCTATATATCTTCATAATGTTCCAAATAGTATTTATGCACATTTAAATTTATTTTTATAGTACTGTAGCTGTCAACACTAAATGTAGTGGGAACACGTCCAGTTTTGTAGAGATTAAGGCCCGTATCGTCAGTCGTCCCTACAATTGTAGGGCGCCTTTCTGGCCTCCTTGATTGTCATAGTTTTCTACTTCTCCGTGTCAGAACTCTATTTTGAGGTTATGTCACAAACATCTATTTGCATCAAATTGTGCTTGCTTTTGAGTTATATCATGTTTTATCAGCCTGAAATTTCCTACAATTTAAAAAGAAAACATATCTTCACAATAGGAGAGCGATGACGCTGACACGGGACAAGTGTAATCTACTATTGTAGGGACGACTGACGATACGGGCCTAAAGTGTACAAAGAAAAAACCCTTATATATATACAGGGTGACTTTGAAGTTGAGTCATTAATTTTCAGATAATGTTTGTAGAACGAAGATAAACCAAAATATGTGTGTAAAAATAAAAAAACATTAAAAAAAATGTTACCTTGTTTTATAAAGTATCCTCCCGACAAGTATTTCAGTGCGGACCTGTATTTGATCGTGCGGTCTTGGAGCACCGGCAGGCCCTCCCCTCTAAGGTCTTAAGTCTCCTGATTCACGAGCCCTTTGTACTATACTAAGTGACATATAAATCCGAACACCCAGTTTAAATGGTTTTATTTTAATAAAATTATGTATAAGTACTTAATGAAGCATAATAAGTAAATGATAAAAATTTCAAAATGATTGCACTGCTTTAAAGCCCTTTGTCCTTTAATAATGTGTGGATGCACCCTGATGTGCTACGCATTCTCCAACGCGCCTAGGCATGCCTCTGATCAGGTGGTCAATATCCTCCTGCGGTATCTCATTCCAGGCAACCACCAACTCCTCTCGAAGTGCTGAGGAGGACGTTGCAAATTGAGCAATCTCCTACCCGTCATATCCCACACGTGCTCAATTGGGGATAAGTCGGGAGATCTTGGTGGCCATGGTAACAATGTGACATTATTATGTTGAAAGAAGTCTATTGTGACTCTTGCAACATGTGGTCGGGCATTATCAACAGGGTGACTTCGAAGTTGAGTCATTTATTTTAACCGTGAGTAGATCTGATCAAAAGAAATGTTTTTTTCCTTTACCATTTTTCTGGTAAAATTAAAGTAACAAAGTTATAGCCCTTTGGAAGTTTGAGTACCGCCCTGTCTCAATAATAATATTATGTGCTCGTGTTTGGCAACAACGGATATAATCCGCCTTATCGGTTCATCGCATCGGAAACAAAAAAGCGAAAGAATTTGGAACGATGTTTTTACAATTATTTTAGTCAGTTGTATACAGTCAGTGTCAGTCGGTAACGCGTGAGTGAATAGTGGTGTCTGTTGCGTGGCTCAAACGAAATAAAAAATGGCACATGTTTATGCGGATCGGTTTCCCAATCGAGTGCAACCAACCCCTCGTGCCTTTGTTAATGTTAGTACAACGGGCTCGTGAATCAGGTGACTTAAGACCTCACAGGGAACGGCATGCCGGTGCTCCAAGACCTCACGATCAAATACAGGTCCGCACTGAAATACTTGTCGGGAGGATACTTTATAAAACAAGGTAATTTTTTTTTTTATTTTTTTTTATTTTTACACACATATTTTGGTTTATCTTCCTTCTACAATCATTATCTGAAAATTAGTGACTCAACTTCAAAGTCACCCTGTATATATACAGGGTGACTTCGAAGTTCAGTCATTTATTTTAACAGTGAGTAGATCTGATCAAAATAAATGTTTTTTCCTATAACATTTTTCTGGTAAAATTAAAGTAACAAAGTTATAGCCCTTTAGAAGTTTGAGTACCGCCCTGTCTCAATAATAATATTATGTGCTCGTGTTTGGCAACAATGGAAATAATCCGCCTTATCGGTTCATCGCATCGGAAACAAAAAAGCGAAAGAATTTGAAACGCTTATCACGATGTTTTTACTACAATTTTATTCGTTGTATTCAGTCAATGTGTCAGTCGGTAACGCTTGAGTGAATAGTAGTGTTTGTTGCGTGGCTCAAACGAAATAAAAAATTGCACATGTTTACGAAAATGCTGAACTTGTGGACATGATTCTTATTTACAAGTCTTTACAAAATGCTGCCGCGGCATCACGGATTTATGCGGATCGGTTTCCCAATCGAGTGCAACCAAAACCTCGTGCCTTTGTTAATGTAGTACAAAGGGCTCGTGAATCAGGTGACTTAAGACCTCACAGGGGAGAGCATGCCGGTGCTCCAAGACCGCACGATCAAATACAGGTCCGCACTGAAATACTTGTCGGGAGGATACTTTATAAAACAAGGTAACATTTTTTTTTAATTTTTTTTTATTTTTACACACATATTTTGGTTTATCTTCCTTCTACAATCATTATCTGAAAATTAATGACTCAACTTCAAAGTCACCCTGTGCCGCGGCAGCATTTTGTAAAGACTTGTAAATAAGAATCATGTCCACAAGTTCAGCATTTTCGTAAACATGTGCAATTTTTTATTTCGTTTGAGCCACGCAACAAACACTACTATTCACTCAAGCGTTACCGACTGACACATTGACTGAATACAACTGACTAAAATAATTGTAAAAACATCGTTCCAAATTCTTTCGCTTTTTTGTTATAGGAAAAAACATTTATTTTGATCAGATCTACTCACTGTTAAAATAAATGACTGAACTTCGAAGTCACCCTGTATATATACAGGGTGACTTTGAAGTTGCGTCACTAATTTTCAGATAATGATTGTAGAAGGAAGATAAACCAAAATATGTGTGTAAAAATAAAAAAAAAATAAAAAAAAAAAATTACCTTGTTTTATAAAGTATCCTCCCGACAAGTATTTCAGTGCGGACCTGTATTTGATCGTGAGGTCCCCTGTGAGGTCTTAAGTCACCTGATTCACGAGCCCGTTGTACTACATTAACAAAGGCACGAGGGGTTGGTTGCACTCGATTGGGAAACCGATCCGCATAAACATGTGCCATTTTTTATTTCGTTTGAGCCACGCAACAGATACAACTATTCACTGACACTTACTGTATACAAATGAATGAAATAATTCGTTCCAAATTCTTTCGCTTTTTTGTTTCCGATGCGATGAACCGATACGACGGATTATATCCGTTGTCGCCAAACACGAGCACATTGAGACAGGGCGGTACTCAAACTTCCAAAGGGCTATAACTTTGTTACTTTAATTTTACCAGAAAAATGGTAAAGGAAAAAAACATTTCTTTTGATCAGATCTACTCACTGTTAAAATAAATGACTCAACTTCGAAGTCACCCTGTATATGTGAGCCTTTCGCTGAATCGCTAGGCTACGCCAATGAATATGTTTTGCTTACTTCTGGTCTCCGTGAAATTCCGATGTTTTTTCAGTCTTGTAACTTGTAACAGATGCTGGAGTGAATACATGTGATACAAGTTATGAAGTGTTTGATTTTCCCTAGGAAAATGATAATTTTCTCACATATATATATGTATACAAAATATTTGTGCACAATGGCATTAACAATACTGTAGATGCACAGTTTTTCATTATAATACAATATAGGTTATATCATAGTTCATTCTAGAAATTATGTATTCATGTTTTCTTTTCAAAACCCTTCGATGGCTAGGTTCTTTCATGAGATGGGCTGGAAAATCAAAAACAGAAGGAACTGCCACCTTTTTTAGTACCTTATTTCCATGAACACTAACTTCATAATCCTCTGGAGTGAAATGCTTTTCACAAATTACCGTTGTTGTACTGAGAGTAAATTTTTCTCTTCTTATAGCATGTAACCACAACTTCATGTTAGGATCTGTAGGTATCCTAAAAGTTCAGATATTTTCTCGAATTACCAATTAACAGGTAATTCTCACACAAAAATGAATGAGATGATTAAAATCAACCTGTGAAACTTCATTTTCACATCTTTTCTGCGTCTTTTGCAACAATTCACCGCACTGCAAGATTCAACCATTTTTAAACAAATATGACATAAAACAACAGCTCTTGAAGGATGTCCGGCACAAAAATGTTTATAATTATATTGTCGCAAACTATAATCAAATTCAAGCGGATAACCAAATGGAAATGGTATTTACCATTTTGGGTTGGTATTTACCAATCCGTTCAAGCGAGTGTAGTTATCAGTTTGGTTATAAGATCCGTGACGTCACGAATCAGCTGTTATATGTCATAGTTATCACCGCAAAATTGTGGTTTTTATCCAACTCAAGAGTAGTTTTATATTTCTGGTTATTATTTGAAATGTGACAAGTTAGAATTTTGCCGGGTATTGGATATAGTTATTGTACTTCAGCTTCATTTTTGAGAAAAATGATACAGGCTGACTTCAGTTTTACCATAAAGTGGAGCACCTTATTAGTTATACTCATTACGGTTGTTGGGGACACTTTAAATGTAGTTCCTATGCTTAACAAAGTATCCTGTGTAGCCATATTATACCACAAGAATATTAAAATATGGCCATATAAACTCACTAGATGATATCCACCTGTATACGGTTTTGCTAATTTCTTTTTTCATCATTTCTGCTGAATCAATAAATGTTTTCTTTGACATGCGGAAAAATTTAGAGAATTGAAAGTTATCATAGCTACACACCCATGGTTCCATCATTAAAAAAAAATCTGAAAAAACATTTCTCCCATGAATATTATGAAAGGTTTCTTATTTAAACTTTCCATATACAGTTGTAGACGAAAAAGCACCGATTATTAAGTGATAATAAAAATCATCAGAGATTATATACGCGCTTTTCTAAAATAAACAACTTGCAACAAAACCGCGGTTAAAACCAACGCGTTCAAGCGATTCGTGTAACTGACGTCATCAACCCGTGTGTCATCTTGAACCATATTATAACCGCGGCACATAACACAGAAATTTTGGTTATTCGCTTGGATTTGATTTTATCACTATTAATCTTTAACGTCACTAAAAACAAACATTCACCAAAAATCCTTAGAACATATGAGCCGTCTAACTGTTAACCCCGCCAAATGCAAAAATAATAAAAATTGAAATAGCACTGTCATTCGACAGGAAATGTTGATATCTGCATTCTGACAAGATATTATTTCTCAAAACCCGGAAATTACTCTACTATTGAGCATCAAAAACTCAGTTCACCTTCAATACATCGCCAAAAGCAGATTTATTTGTCGGCAAAATTCGCCAAGTGCAGACGACCAATATGAAAGTCGTATTTTGGTCTCGTGATCATGTGTTTCGATTCAGAGGGTTTTGTGCCATTTCCTGGCATTCTCATCATTGTGGTTAAAAATAGTTGATTTTGGCTGCAAAGCCCGCCATTTTTCACATTTATTTTCAAACCCCGCCAACCGCAGTTTATTTTTCTTATTTGACAGTGCAAATGCTATCTTTGTTGTAATACGATGCATCATATGCATTAAGAAGCAGTATCTACATCAAGATTTAAAGTAAACTCATTTTGTGGATAGTACAACACAAAACAGTTTTCCGCGTTTTTACCTTGGAACTGTATGGTTTGCACTTGGCGGGGTTTGCATTTCGACGGCTCATATATGGAAATACCACAATGGACCACCATGTTTTGCCCTGACTAGCGCTATCCTTCTCGTTTCGCATTCTAGCCGCAATGAATTTGCGTTACGCCTATTCCATGTGTTGACAGTTCATTGGATTTTTACTCGTTCACAAATATTTTCGTGTAATTGATTTGACCATGGAGGTTTTGACCATTTCTACTGAAGAGTCAACAAATGGTGACTGTCCAGCAGAAAAGAAATTGAACTTAGTGGATGAGAACGGCTCAACTGATACTTCTATCCACGAGAATTTAAAGGATTTGTCCAACTTCGCAGTGAAAGAAATCTTACAAAACAACACAAACAGAAAAGTCACATGTTTGAGAGGTAGTTTTAGTTCCCATCCTGGAGAAGCTGTGGTCGTTCTAGAAAAGCCGGCCTTTTCTGAAGAAATTCTCAACGATTACTTCAAAGGAAAAGATAATCTAACCAAATCGTTTCATAACGATATTTATGGAGATTACCGGTACAATCCGTCCTCCGATCTCAATGGTAAACTTTGTTTTGCTTCATTTTACATTTATTGTATTTTCCTAATTTCATACACAGAGTATGGTTATCAAGAATTGACCCATTGTTATTGGATACAAAAGGTTTAGCTCAACACATCTTCCTCTATAGGCCCAAGGCCAATGTTTGATGGGGTCCCTTAAATCTAACAGATTTCCAAAGAAAAGTCTGGGCCAACAGTTTTGAACACCTGGACTTTATGCTCTAGGTGGGGCTGGCCTCAGTTTTGCACTCGTTGTGGCTGAAAGAAAGCATAAAATATGCGGCCTACCTCCATATTAAATGAGAATTCTGTGTCCCTCATGAGACTGTGCCCTAGCCATCATGGCTAGAGAGCCTGTTCAGAAGCAAGTTTAACCATGTTCTGATGTAGACAAGTGCCTTCTAAACTGCATTTAAATTCATTTGCTAATTTAGAAAAACTCGAAAGACATTATTTCATGTTTTAATATTTCCAAATTTATTTTTTTGCAGCTGTGAAAGCAACAGTTATACATCCTGCTACTGAAAAGACTATACAACGATATACATCTCAAAAGCACTATATGATAGAGGAATCACCAAAAATCTATAAGGACATTATCTTACCAAATCTAGCTGAAGAAGAAGATCATTTACAGGTAAATATGAGAAAATATCCATTTAATAATTATAATTATACTCGTTAGGAGTTGCAAACCAAATTCCGGGATTTCAAAAATACTAGGAAATAGGATCAAATCAAAGTCTTAAAAATAATGGTTTTGAAATCGCAAAAACCGAGGTATACAGTATTTTCTGTATCAAGTAAAAGTAATATCTCAATTATTTCTATAATTTCAATTTTTAAATCAAACTGACCATTTGAATTATTTTGTTTCTTGACATTGAGATAAGCTTAATAGATAAAGGTGACTTCATCAACAATTATTATGAAGTGAGCTTTTAACAAAATTCATAAATTAATAGGTTTCCAATGCCAAAAAATGGTACCGTATTGACACCATATAGTGAAAGATTTTTATCTTTGTATGTTATGGACTGTAGGGTTAGTTATCTCACCAAATATGTACACTGGTCCCGAGTGGTAGCTAAAAGGTATTGCAGAGTACAAAAATAAGCCATCGAAGTTGCACATTTCTCCTTCATCTCCTGCCTTCCAAATATACCGAATTGCAACATCGCCTAAGGTGATTCAATAAGCATTTAGGTATGACGAAATGATATTGACTGTAGAAGAGTAGCGTCACTTCATCGTTAAAACAGTTTTGGGCGAGGTGTCTGAAATTACATTATGGTATCCAAAATCCTAGAATCGCAGAACACTGTAGTGTTTTACGTGTCGCGAAACTAGCAGGAAGTGGGGTGCAAATATTTCGATGCTCCGCTAATGATGGCGACTATTGTTATTCTAACATATTTGGAATTTGAGACATCGTCGCGAAAGTTGTAACACCACGAAACGCAAAAAAATAGCTTATGTATTGGCTTGAAAAAGCCACAGTGATTGCCGGAATGTCATCAATAGGCACTATTGGCTTATGATGTTTCATTTGCGACTAGACAGACATAGAGGATTATAAGATCATTCGATAGCCACTCCAAAGGCCTACCCTTCTTTTTGCTCTCCTAAAAAGTTGTTAGTTTCAAGTTACATCGAGCTGGAACTTTTTTTATTGAGCAACTAAATTTTTGTGATTCTTGGGTGGGTAGTACCAAAAAGAAGAAATTACGATACAAATTTGTTATTTAGTTTTAATTTACGTCAATGAGTAATGGCAAACCTTTCCAAAGTAGATTGTTCAAGTATATTGCGAGAAAATAGAAGTCATGTTCAATTTCTTTATTTAATTTTATACTCCTCAGTCTACATTATTCATGTTCACTGAAAAATAAATACGAACATTTAAACAACAACAAAGTGATTTTTTTCATCTGCACTGAAAAAACTTTTAGGATGTAAGCACACAGTTTGAAGAATCTGCTTTTTTTTCTGGTTTTAAGTTTAGCGCCCTTACACTTATTTTCAAACTTGTAACCGAACAATAATTCATTCTAGCCTCTGTTAGAATCAGTATAGCAGTTACTTATATTGCACAATGTCAAGGAAACCAGAATGACTGGTGGGTTATCACCAATGGGTGGAACGCTAAAACACTCTATTTTTCAAGCCTATTTATCATATATAATTTAGACAGAAAAAATAATATGGATTACCCTGTATAAACACTCTATGACATGTCAAACTACGCATTACTCTGTTGAAATCAATAAAATTAAAAGTAGATGAACCATACACCTGTAACCCTTCTTCTTCCCTTTATTTTGATATCTTGGTAGTCTCCAGGCAGTAAATCATAAAAAAATCCTATTGTATACGGGCATGTGTGTTGGTGTATCTATCCAGTTGAAGGATGTATGTAAAGCTGGACATACACGCGAATAATAATATGCATATCAGCCAGGTTTACTATTATGGATATTCAGATTCATGATTCCGCCACAATATGATCTGTATGAATATTTTGGTGAACAAATCATACCAACTGTCTCTACCCACACTCCGGCGATACAAGACGCGAATCCGTACAGAAAATTATCAGCATTTGAAAAGCGTCATTCCATTCTTTGATTTCTTTCATTTCGTCTTTGACCCACAAGCAATTGGTCTATAAAATGCTCAAGTTGATGATTCCTTTATCACCAACGGCAGATTTGAGAGTGGAAGAATTTGCGGCGATTTTATAATGATAAATCAACTTTCCTATTTTTAAATCTTCAGAACACAAGAGTTAAAAATATGAAATATACACACTCCAAGTGGTTGTCTCTAAGAATTTTGGTTGCTCAAAACTCTTACTGTTATTGTAACATGTTTATCGTATGTCCTTTCGGTAATCATTACCGTGTATGTTTAGCTTTTGCTTAGAGTTACCATCAGACGGCGGTAAAGGAGGTGAAAGAAATGAACCGGCAATAAATTATACTCGAAAAAAGAGGGACGCTCCACATAAAGACAGGTCGCAGGGAGAAGTGTTTCTGCTCCCCTGATTACTCAATGCCGGCTGTCTGTTTAATAACTGGTCAGATCCCAAATGGAGATTGAGAGACGAATTTTTCTATGGTAGGTCAAATATTTGGTATTCAATAGACAAGCCAAAAAGGTAGGTTGCGCAAACAATAAATTATAATCCATCAGTTCATTGTTATAATAAGGTAGTGAAGTCGTTCAATAAACATTCAAATGATTATGGGCTATATATGTATAATATATTATATATTGAAGCAGCCGCGCAGGCAGAAGCCTAAATGCCGGAAAGCGAAGCCTCACTAAGTTTTTCAAGCACAAAAGGAAAATGAACAAAAAATCAGGCCGAATTTTTTTCTTGGGATGAGATTAGAGGTAATAATAGCCAGCCTTCTAAATGATAAATCCACTAGACCTAAGAGTCAAATAGAAAAATATGACTTTTTACTAGCTACTGTCAATTTCTTTGTGAGCCAAAAACACAAAATACAGCTTTTGTCTTTGAGGTGCCGCGCTGCCGACTGCATAAGCGTACCCGCTGGTTGTTCCACTTCCACATTCATCAGAAAAAATTCCATGGATTACTCTTAATACCTATTGAAATTTAAAATATTATTTTGTTTCTCAAATGTCTGGTAATATTTTATGACTACAAACATGATAATTTCTTTGATTAATGCATTAATTTGTAAATTGAATCAAGAAAGACATATTTATTTCTTATTTACTTCGTCGCCGTCGCTGGATGGGTGCAATCCCAATGATATTAGAAAGAAGGGCTGAACTCTTTGAGCTAGGCCCACAGACCCCACGCCTCTGTTCCTATTCTGGCATGGGCACACCGGCGTATTCAAGGGAGGGCTTTGGGGCTCCTCGGAGTTCCCCCTCACGAAGCGCAACAGCGCATTACGCTTCTTCTACATATTACAGCATGTTATACTTTCTGTGAAGTGTAGCTACCTGGACTAAGCGAGTTCCCGCCTGCTATGCAGTTTTCTATCACCACGACTCTGGATCATAAGCCTCTTCCCAGATCTTTTTCTGGATAACACCACTGGTTGAGCAGTATCTCAATCTACAGGAAACAATTACTATCGCGAAATCAACCACAACAGTGGCTCCTACAAATCACTTTTATGGGCACATTAAAATTTCCCTCATCAGAATAAACTAGGAAGTCACATATGAATAAAATTAATAAACCATAACTGATCATAATTGTTTGTATTAGCATTGGGAGGATTTCTGGAAAAGCAAAAATTCTATATACTTGGATGTCTGCTTAAAGTGGCTGAATCTACCAGTATGTCTACAAAGTAAGATGCATGTAGACCAGAATGCAGTTTTGTATAGACACAGAAAGTGGTTAAACTGAATACTGGTGAAATACTTTTCAGGGCTAAGGAAATTAGTTGCAAGAAGGATAAATAGCCAGCGCTAATTTCGTAAAGTAAACGTTTTTCGTATTTACATTTTAGAAGAGAATGTTCAGTTTCCAAACATAACTATGTTAGGTAGCCTAGCACTTACGACTTGTCTATTCAATACCAAAGATCCAACCTACCATATCAGAATTAATCAAAACAACCCGATTCTCCCTGAATATTGAAATTTGATGGAAATATTTTTCTTTTGAAAAACCTGGATATATATTACAAATAAAGATGTAATCTGCTTTGAAAATCACACCATATTGAGGATTTAATTAAACCTGCACCTCAGCAACAGCAATAGCCCACCGCCACTGGAGACAACTCAATGAAGCCACGCGTTCCTTTTATCCATAATTTATTGCTTGGACATTACGTTCCAGTATCAGTCATGCTTTTTAGACTGTCTTCGGCGCTAATACAACGTTGCAGTTCAGTATTTTGGGAGGCCAGAAGATGAAAGAGGTATGTGCAACTTCGATCGCATATTTTTGTACCTAACAAGCAATCAAGCAATTTGAACAGAGAAGAATGGCTTAAGAGGGTATATTCATATATTTCGATTTTCCTTAGCACCTTTTGAAAAATATTTCCAGTGTGCAAGGTGCGTTTTTTTGCCAAGAAAGATTGTTAGCTCAAATCCTACTTTTAAATTACTTTTGTGTAAATCAACCAAATTTAGACTGTCTATGAGGTCTAATAATAGTATCAATCTTTGAAGTAAGAAGAAAACTTATTATGATCATTACGGATCCAGTATTGTAATTGATAAAGCTACTGTAGAAATCTTATTACATCATATTTTATTTCAGTGGGTATATAATATTCTTGAACACAAATCTGAAGCAGACAAAATTGTTGTTGAAGATACTGACCCAAATGATGGATTTGTCATGGTACCTGACCTAAAGTGGAGTGGAGAATTAGATACACTGTATTTGTTGGCTATTGTGAACAAAAAGAATATAAAGTCACTGAGAGATCTCACAAGTGAACATTTGCCGTTGCTGAAGAATATTAAAGAAAAAGGATCAGTAAGTGGATTTTCTATTAGTTTCTCTCCCCATCAAAAATACTGAGTGAACCCACTTATTGAAATGTTTCTTATTTTAGGAAGCGATCAAAACCAAATACGGCATAGAAAAACATGAGCTTAGAGTTTACTTGCATTACCAGCCGACCTTTTATCACCTGCATGTACATTTTTGTGTATTAAGACATGAAGCACCTGGTATATTAGTTGGGAAGGCTCATCTACTGTCTGATGTTATAAGCAACTTGGAAGTAGCTCCTGATTACTACCAGAAGTCAACCATAAGTTTTGTTATGCCTGAGAACCATAGGTTGTTTGAAAAGCTCAAAACTGCTGGCATTTTAGAGACATAGTCAACATGTATGAGCTGATCATTCTGGAGATAAGACCAAGACTTTGCAGTGTCAACGGGTTTGTTAAGTTTTCAAATAGACCAGATGATGTCAAAGTATCCTTAGATGATGATTTGAAATTAGTTTTTAATAGAAGAGAGGAAAAGATACCATGTCAGTTCACTGGTATAGTAAAAAATAGCTTAACAGTCAAAGTCAATGATACTCATGTAATTTTTCGGTTTGCTACAAAAAATGAGGCATCTGGTAGTTTTAAAACTGAAGTTCTCCAGAACACTGCCACAAATTTCAAGTTTTCTCATGACAAACCTTTGTTTTCTGCAAATACCTCCTACACTTGTCTCTGTGGGAAGTGTAAAACTCCTCTAACAAATCCACTGGTATTTGAAAGAATTCTGCCTTTGCCTTCTGACAACTCGGATCCAAATGAGTGGTTTTGTCATAGATCTGATGTCGGTAATAACTTTAATCTAGATCCAAAACCATCGGATATTTTTTATACGCATTGTTTAGTTCATTTGAATATACAAAATATTCAAAACGTGGATGAAACTGGTAAAATTGTGTTTTGTAAATCTTGTCAGGATTGGTTAGGGCTTAAATACAATGATAACACAGCCAAATTTTGGTTGAACACTGTAGAGTTCATTAGTGATAATAATTTGGTATCAACGTCGAGTCTGCAAGACGTTTTTAACGTTATCAATAGTGTCTTTCAGCAAAAACTGCAGAGTTCTGTAAAGATAATGCTTTGTTGCCAAACTACCATAAATAACATTGAAGCCGTTTTATTGTGGATATTGGAAAAAAGGTTAGAAGTATTTTATGACAATTCCAGAGAAGAGAAGAAATGTGACGTTGCAAAGGTTCTATTCAAATCCGTTGATAATCATGACAATATTTTTGACCAGTGGAAAAATGATCTGATGGTTGATACAATAGATGTCTCGAAGAGCATGATTTTGAGTGTCTCGAATCACCTGGCAGAGTGTAACAGAGCTCTGCCTGATGAATTTGCCAAGTCTAATGATTTTAATGTATCCTATTTGTTTATGTATGATGGTTGCACCATTTAATTTTAAGTTTTATTCTGTAGGTTTAGCCAGATAAATGTTAGGTGTTAGATAATTTCTGAATTTTCTTTCGTTTTGAATATGTTTTGTCTTCTAATTATTTTGGATGAGAAAATATTTGAAACTTATCCTATGGTTTTTATACTGATACCCATGTGCATGTGGTTTTGTTTCGTCCGACAAGCATGGGGGTTATAAAAGTATTCCAGGTATATGGTTTTAGTGTCCTAAGATTAAAGTAGTGTTTCAAGGTTGAGGTGAATATCCTCAATTTTAAGACTTGATAATTAGTCTAATCATATTAGCAAATTTCCCCGAAATAATTGTAAAGTCACGTTTTATTGGGGCAAGTTGTTCAAGGGGGTATTTAAAACATGGATGCATAAAATGGGTACACCAATTTTTGTGGGAAAACCTTTTATTTGACGACAAAGAATGAGAAAACGTATTTTTTGGGATTCAATCGAAAGTTTTTACAGGAACAAAAGAACTTTTCATATAAGATTTTTAGGTATTTACGAGACGTACAGAATGAGACCACACCCGATGCAAAATGCAGGTTTTGCCGCTTGTTGGTAATGCGACGATAATTTCACGCAACTACTTGAAATTCTTCAAATCCGTAGGATTCATTCTTCTAAATAACAACAAAATTGGAGTATTTTGGTCATATTGATGTTTTTTTTTAATTTTCTAATTTTTCATCCCAAAACGCCTGTTTTCCTGCCATCACTTCTAGTTTATTGAGCAATATTCAGGGCTCTTTCAAAGAGCATTTAATAGCAAAATACACTTGTTTACCTTGCCGATATGAATCACAAGCTATTCCGAAAGCTAAATGTTATTTTTATGCGAAAAACAAAGGTTACGTTTTTTTTCTTCTAAACAAATTCAAACATTTCGTATTTGTGAGTAAACAAACGCGCTATGATATTCGAAAAACATACGTTACTATACACATTTTAAAACAAAGCGGATGTGTCTATCGTCTTTTGTTTCGAATTACTCAAAAACACGAAATGTTTGAATTTGTTTAGAAGAAAAAACTTAACCCATCCTTTTTGCATAAAAACAACATTTATCTTCCGAAATGGTTTGCAATTCATATCGGCAAGCTAAACTAGTGTATTTTGATATAAAATGCCCTTGGAACTAACCCAGTATATTGCTCAATAAACTAGTAGAGATGGCCTGAAAACAGGTGTTTTGGGATAAACAATTAGAAAATCTCAAAAACTACTTGCCCAACCTACTCCAATTTTGTTGTTTTTATTTAGAAGTATGAATTCTAGAAACCATCGTCGCATTACCAAGAGGCAAAACCTGCAGTTGGCCTTGGTTCTAGGCCATAACTTTTTTGCTAATCGTCGGATCTTTTTACGTGTGGTCTCATAAATACCTAAAAATCTTATACACACGCGTCCATGTTTTGAATACCCCCTTGAACAACTTGCAGCAGTAAAACCAGACTTTACAAATAATTCGCAAACCAGGGGTATTTTCGTCTAATATGATTAGACTAAATTACGGATTAATTTTTATGTAACTTATAATGCAGTGTATTAGATTAAGTTCAACCCTAATAAAGTTTTGATAAATATTTTCAGTTCTTTCATTGATTTCTGATTTTATTCCTCTCAAATGTTCGTTCCTTCCGTGCAAAATGATGTTAGAGGGAACCTCTCAGAAAACTCGGAAAATTTCAATGTAAGGGGCAGATTAAAAAAAAACAAGTTTGTACAAAATACTTTAATCGATTGTTTCTACACCATATAACAGATCACTAATTTTAGTATCACAGCATGTTATATGGCTCTTAACTTAAAGTAATTATCCTTAAATTGTACAAACTTAACACAAAAACTTCCAGTCATTAACAACACAGGCAACGGAAAATGAGAACAAAAAAATACCCCATACGTACAAAATGTTGAACACCTGCATTGTTATCTGGATTGTCCTTATAACTAAAACAACATGTTGCAGATAACAGAGAAGAAGACGGATTCAAATTGATTCAATATAAGTGCACTTATTTTTCGCTAAAATAAAAAACTTTTTACTTTAAAACAGTACGTCAAGAATGATAAATGATATCACAGTCAGCTGAAAATTAGTAACAAAATAGTATATTACAAAATCGATTCTGGTACAGAAAACGATGACAGATTTTGTCATACATCTATACCTTGAAGACAAGTAGTTCACTATAAAAATTATATTTTTCAAACACTAATACTGTTACAGAATCTCCACTAAAAATGTCTGAATCTTTTTGGTTATACATTAAATCAAATATTCTTCAATAAATCAGTAACAGTTAAACTTAATACTTTAATAAACAAAATATTACAATTTCATTTTCATGGAGAGTTTCACTTTAATGATAGGGTAAATGCGGGAGAGATGCCGCGGCAGGAGGTTGTAATTTCCCATAGGCTCGAGAGATGGAGCTGTTGCCGCAATATGTGGTAGATGAATACTGCAAAGTGACCGGTAGTTTGTGATTTGTGCCATCGAAGCGATAGTCGACAAAATATCTGGGATTTTAAGATCCGTAAGTACACAAAACGTGGTAAATATTTTAAGCATAATTTGGTTTAGGTGTATTACAAATCTTACGCGTAGTATTTTGTGCCGTCATGGGTTTTGTTAGGACTGTAGCTCAGTATGGAGGTTGCTGTGTAAAAGTTGAGTAATTTCGTTAACACTTCTAACAGACGGCAGTCTATTCCCACAAAAAGGATAGTCGCCGCTTTTATTAACGGGAGAGAAGCCGCATTCGTTATCACATGACTTTTGCACTTCTGACGCTTTTAATGAAAAAAATGTTATAATAATAATTGAAAAAAATGAAAAAAGCATTAATTTGGGAAAAGTGTAACAATATTTTTATATGTTTCTGTCTATAGATCATGCCTCGTAAGTACATACCATCAAATACAGCTCGACCAAGGGTCACCTGGTCGGATGAGCAACAATGGAGGCTGTAGCAAAAGTACAGACAGGAGAAATATCTAAAAGGGAGGCACACAGGCGCTATAATGTAACCCCTAGTACCATAAAAAGGAGAATAACATCTGGCAATTTCAAGAAGGGTGCCCTTGGCCCAATCATGAGCATTTGTTTGTTTTAGGAATTTTGGGCAGGGCCAATGTAACAAGACTAGTTCCGCACATTCATCGTTTGTCAGTCGTTGGCTTTGCTCCAGACAGAAGCACAGTTAGAACACTTGCGTTTAGGTTTGCTGAAAAGCTATGGATAAAACACCCATTTTCAGCTGCAACAGAAAAGGCAGGATTTGCATGGCTTCATTCATTCTTGGACAGAAATCCTGAATTGTTCGTTAGGCAAGCTGAGGGTCTATCGTTCTCAAGGGCTCAGGAAATGAATCGAGAGGACGCTAGATGATTCTTTGAGTTGCTGGATGAAGTTTTAACAAAAAATGGTCTAATGGAAAAACCTTCTTGTATAGTTAACATGGATGAAACAGGCGTACAACTCCTAAATAAACCTAGTAAAGTTGTAACGAAGAAAGGTAGCAAAGATGTACATGTATTAACGTCGAAAGAACGCGGAGAGAATGTCACAGTGATTGCTTGCTGCAGTGCAGATGGCACGTTTATTCCTCCAGTTCTTATTTTTAAAGGGGTTAACAGAAAACCGGTGCTTTCAGATGGCTTGCCCCCTGGATCTAAGGTGTACATGAACAGAAAGTCTTCCTTCATTAATTCGGAGCTCTTCGTTCAGTGGTTGGTGGAGCAATTCATACCACATAAACCAGCCGGTAAGTGCGTGTTAATTCTTGACGGTCACACGTCTCACAGCACAAATATAGAAATGCTTCAGATAGCGGATGAGAACGACATTATTATCCTTTGTTTGCCCAGTCACTGTACACAGGCTCTCCAACCACTTGACAGGAGTTTCTTTCGTCCATTTAAAGTTTATTTCAATCAAGAAGCTCACCTCTGGATGAAACACCACAGTAACAGAAATTTCGCGAGATACCGGGCTGGAGAAGTTATTGGAAAAGCGTGGATGAAAGCAGCGTGTTTAGCTAATGCTATCAATGGGTTTAAAGCCACTGGAGTTTATCCATTGGACCCAAATGCTATCCCGGATAATTTTTTTTCTGTGGCTGATTACGCAGCTACTCCACCTGCATAGGCACGTGAGAAAGTGGAGCCACTGCGGCATGTGAGTCCCGAAGCTGCAGTAGGGTTGAACTTAATTGATCCAGGTCCATCAAAACAAACTGGTAATGATCAAGTTGTAGATGACATAGTAGAAGGCGATGGACCTGAATTTACGCCAACAAAGCTTCTCCATGAGGTGTCTCCTGTTCTTGTGCTTCCAATTCCATTATTTAGCAGAAAAAAAAAACAAGTTGCGCCTGTTTTGAATTCGCCGCAAAATATTGAAAAACTGAAACAAAAGAATAAAACATCCAACGCAAGAGCAACAAAAAAAGCGGAAGGAAGGAAAAAAGATGACAGTGCTGGAGCTGGTCCCAGCAAGAAAATTAATAGGCATGTGAAAAAAGACGCTTCCAAAGCAAAAACCTGCAATAACACCTGGAGTTCAGATGATGATGAGCCCCTCGTGAAAATGATCAAGAAAGCCACTTCCAACGCAAAAGTCAGCAATAACACTTGAACTTCAGATGATGGTGATAAAATTCCCATGAAAAGGGCCAAAAACGACGGTCATGATGATAATGAATATTTGTGCGTGGAGTGTTACGAACCTTACGAGCAAACTACGAAGAAAGAGGACTGGCTAAAATGTTTAAAGTGTCAAAAGTGGTTGCACGAAACTTGCACGATGTATGGAGAGGTCTGTAATGTGTGTTCTAGACAGAAACTATGCGAAAAAAACACCAAATTCTCAACTTAAGGTATGCGGCATCTCACCCCTTTTCCTGCGGCATCTCATCCAGATGGTCGGGAGAGACGCCGCGTTGTAAACACCAAAACAATGTTTTTCTATATACAGGGTGTCCGCAAAGTTGGGGTTTTCCTTTACACGACGTGTAGATCTTGAAAACATAAGCAATTTTTCTTAGTACCATATACACCAATGTCTTAAGGGAACCGAGATAAACGGCTCTGCAACATCAAAAATATCTGAATACCGTCCTGTAGCCGCGACCCGCCGGGATACCCCCGACACCCCGACTGGTACAAGGTCTCAACCCGACAGCAAAACTGGGTCGGGGTCAGTGTGTCAGGTTAGTATGCAACCTTCAACCGACGGTTACAGTCACGCGTGTAGAGGTAAACGAATCGATTGCGTTTCAAAAAGCAACAAGCACTAGAGACGTAGCTAGAGAAGTGCAAGTATCAAAAACTAAAGTGTGGCAAACGCTGTATCCGTTTCACGTCCAACGTGTACAAGCCCTTCAACCTGACGATTTTCCAGCAAGAGTGCGGTTTTGTGAGTGGTTGTTGCATCAACATGACAATAATCCGGACTTTTTGAAGTGCATATTGGTGCCAGACGAATCTACGTTCACGCGTAATGGGGTGAATAACTTTCGCAACACTCATGTTTGGTCATTTTCAACAAACATTTTCGGTGAATGTTTGGGCTGGCATGGTGAGCGGTATGCTCATTGGACCATTTATTCTCCCAAATAGATTGGACGGGATGCAATACCTAGACTTTTCACGCAACATTTTGCCTTCCTTGTTAGAAGATGTGCCATTAAGTGTAAGACAATCAATGTGGTTTCTGCGTCTACTCGGTAGCGCTTCAGCTGATTTCATTTTCTGTTGGAGCGGTATGATTTCGGGCAGAGACGTACTTAGCCCTTCTCGTCCACTGGAGAGTGAGTACTTTTTACTTGGTCGCCCTCGTTTCACTACACATTACCTTGTTATTTCAAGGGTAGTTGTTTCTGAAAAGGAAAACGCCAACTTTGCGGACACCCTGTATATTCTATCAGAGTCTTATGTTTTATTTATACTCATACTGAGAGTTTAAGAGTTACATTTATTTGTGTTAAGTTTTCAATGTTCAAAAATAAATAATTTCAAAAATATAACCTTTCTTTGGAATGTGCGGCAACTCTCCCGCATTTACCCTATATTTACCATAGAGACAATATGATGGATCACTAGAAGCCACATCAAAATAATTTAGACCCAAGGTTTTTTATTGTCTTTTGCTTAGTCATAGCAAATTATTTTGATTTCAAGCAAGTGCACTAAACATGAATCTTGTGAATCCGTCAAAGCATAATAATTTATTGGTTTATCACCATTCTTCTTCTACTTCCTCTGCTACTTCCTTCACGAGATTCCTGTCTTTTCCAAAATCGCCCTAAAACGATAAAAAATGACGTCAAGAAGTTTGACTCTGCACTTCCCACATTACACTGTCATCAATAATTCATAAAGGATCATGTTTGGCACTAGTTTGCTGCTCTAAGGAAAAACCTGGCTACGAAAATGTATAACTAAAGTGAATTATAAAAATGCCCCCCACACCAAAGAAAATATCCTGCGAACACCCATGAACATTGGTTCTTGCTAACCTGGCCACTCGCCATTCACGGCAGTACGACAGCCACTACCGATTGCAAAACACAGACACCCATCGAAATGATTGCGACGCACGATGTTGAAATATATGATGTGTGAAAAATATTTCTAATAGGTGTGTAGAATTACTGTGGTTGGAGGCGTATAAATATACTAACGTCAAAAATTTGAGATCTACAGCGTACCCCTCCCCCTACAACCTACAACCCCCATTTTTTAACCCCTACAAATATTTTTCTGAAACGTCAAAATACGGAGTGAAAACGTTTCTATTTTTTCGTTTTTTGCTCGTAGCTCCGCCGCCATTGAATGGATTTTCATAAACTACAAATATTTTTCATCCTTGGCTCAAAATTAGTGCAATACTTTCCAAGTTCGACGGGCCAACAATTAGCGGACAGGCCGACTGAAATGAGTAACATGGGTTTTCGTGCTATACACGTCGTATAACATTCAGGTTAAAGATTTTTGTTTCAAACATTAGGCATCACATATTTTCACGTTTACTTTTTGTGCCATAGACATTCCTACCTTATATGCGTTTTTTTGTTTTGTTTGTGTCTTGAACAAATGTATGGAAAGTTTTTTCATATCAGCATTGTTACATATTTAACATCCTTGGATTAGTGTTGTTGTATCACTGCTATACCCAGCACAATATTAAGTTGTGACTTAAAGTTGTCGAGTTGAAAAAGCAATGTACTATAGCAGGAAATTTAGACTTAAGCGAGGGTGTCGTTTGAGAAATTCTAAAAGAGTTTCGGTTACTAGGAAACGTTATTAATCGGCCAACGTCAGGTCGTGCTAGAAAAACTACCCCCTATGATAATAAGGGCATTAAAAGAATAGCTGATCCGCATAGGTCATCCGTCCAAATTAATGCAGAAATTCGACAATATTTCAACACAGACATAACGGCCCGTACTGTGAGAAGACGTCTATGTGAAGTTGGTTTGTTTTTAAGAGTTGCTGTCAAAAAAAAACCGTTACTGTCTAAAAATAATCGAATGGGCAGACTTCAGTTTGCTCAGAGACATTTAAATTGGACACCTTAAAACTAGGGTGCGGTGCTTTGGAGTGACGAAAGCAAATTTAAAATATTTGGTGCTGATGGAAGATCGTTTGTAAGAAGACTTGTCGGGGAAGAATTTGTTATCAGGTATCAAAAGCCTACAGTGAAGCAAGGTGGTGGCAGTGTTATGATCTGGTGGTGTTTTTCCAGGTTTGGAACAGGCTCGATACTGAAAATAACTGGGAAAATGGATCGCTTTATATACCGCGACATAGTACAGGCTACTACGAGCCCCTTCCCACTTCAGTTGGCCCAACTATTGAAATCTTAGTTTTTTCTTATCAGACACAAATAATAAAAATGTAGCAGGGTGTTAATAGGTTTAAAATATTAACAATGAATATTTTGATAATATATAGTAGAAAACACCAACTTTATCACTCTCTAATCAAATTTGCAGCATAAAAATAACACATGTTGCAATTACAGCATATCAACCTATTTTCATTTCAATGCAAAATAAGTCTATAACGCATAGGTGGCTGTACAAAAAATAAAAGCCATGACAATTATTTTTATTAATCACAGCTGTCAGAATACGTTTAAAATAGTTTTGGGTAGTTAAGGTTTTCAAAATGGGTAGAGGAAAGGTTATTAGTGAGAAAATTCGGTTACTGATAATTAAATTTTTTAATTCTGGGAAGTCAAACTCGGAAATTGCAACTTTGTTAGACTTATCGCGGTACAGTGTGAGAAATATTGTTAGAAGATATAACGTAACTGGTTCAGTTAATATTAAGCCCCGATATGTGAAAAAAAGTAATATCACAAATGCCGACCGAAGAGCATTAAGAAGAATAATCGTGAAAAACAGGCGTGCCAATTATTTACAATTAAGTGCTCTGTGGAGTGACGCTGTTGGAAGGGGAATTTCGAGGTCCACAACTCATAGAGAGGCCCACAAACTAGGATTTAGTACTTGCAAGGTAAGTAACCCTAAAGTTGCACAACTTGTTTATAGGCCAAAGAAAAGCCACTATTAACTCCACTGCAAAAGAAAAATCGGCTAGATGGGCTAAAAAAGATAGACAATGGACACCTCAACAATGGTGTGCAATACAATGGAGTAATGAGGCCCGATTCGAAGTTTGTGTTGGTGACAGTCGCAGTAGAGTTATTCGCAAAAAAATGAAGCATTCCATGTTGACTGTCTGAAGAGAAAAGTGAAATTTCCAGCATCCATTATGGTCTGGGGCAGTATGTCATCAAAAGGAGTAGGAAAACTTATTTGGCAATTTTAGAAGAATCGCTTTTACCAGTGCTGGAAGAATGTTTGACATCCGGCCAAGATTTTGTGTTTCAGCAAGATGGTGCAGCGTGCCATACCTCAAAAAAGGCTATAAAATGGATGGAAGAAAATAATGTACCACTTTTGAAATAGGTTTCTAGCAGCCCAGATCTGTCACCTATTGAAACTTTGTGGCACGAAATGAAAAAGGTTCTACGACAACATCCTGCTCGTACAATCACCGAACCGATACAAAAGCTTCAAGAAATATGGGATTGTTTTACACCAAATTTTTGCCGAAACTTGGTTAACACTATGCCCCAAATAATTTCAGCCGTAATAAAAAATAAAGGTGATGTTACCCAATGGTAATCTTTAAATTGTTGCTTTGTTAACTTCGCGCATTTATTCGCACATTATTTGTTCAGATGTTCTATTAGTTATAGCTCTAAGTGATTTCAAATATGTATTTTTTACGACTAGAGTGTATCTAAAATGTTTTTGAGAGAATACATTGTTTTATAAGTAAATAGTTTCGTCATGTTTAGTTTATAAAGGCATATTTTGGTACAAATTTTGAAGTGAGCCAACTGAAGTGGGATGGGGCTCGTATGTTACCTTATGCCGAAGAAGAAATGTCGCCAAAGAAAAGCCACTATTAACTCCACTGCAAAAGAAAAATCGGCTAGATGGGCTAAAAAAGATAGACAATGGACACCTCAACAATGGTGTGCAATACAATGGAGTAATGAGGCCCGATTCGAAGTTTGTGTTGGTGACAGTCGCAGTAGAGTTATTCGCAAAAAAATGA